TGCTCTTTCCATGCATTTCTTGGCTTCCTCGTACTGTCTGAGATCTCGAAGCACCAAACCGAGATTATGTAAATAAGTGGCTAATGTTGAATGGTTGTCATCATATATACGTTCGGCAATAGCAACTGCTCTTTCCATGCATTTCTTGGCTTCCTCGTACTGTCTGAGATCACGAAGCACCAAACCGAGGTTATCTAAATCTCTGGCTAACTCTGGATGGTTGTCATCATATATACGTTCGTCAATAGCAACTGCTCTTTCCATGCACTTCTTGGCTTCCTCGTACTGTCTGAGATCGTTAAGCAGAATTCCAAGATTTGTGAGTGTTGTAGCTAAATATGGGCTATTTTTGTGGTGGTAAGTTTCTTCAATTCGAATCGCTAATTCGTAATATTCTTTGGCTTCAGCATGTTTTCCTATTTTCTTCAGTACCAAACCAAGATCATTATATCTCTCACATARACATGGATGTTCCATGCCAAATTTTTTCTGATCAATAGCAAGAGCTTCGTGCATAAAGTTTTTTGCTTCTTCAACTTTGTTCATTTTATAGTAAGTCATTGCCAAATTGTTCAATATTTTTCCTATAAAAGGAGTGTTGCGACAATTTTTCACCAGTGGTATTGATTTATTTACGAATCTTTCAGCTTCTCTTAATTCCTYTAGTGTAGAAAGAACTAGTGCTAGATTTGTAACTGCTCTCAAGTAATAACTGCACTCTATCTCATCGTTGTCATTGGATGAACAACGAAATCTTATCAGTGCTTGTTGAAAATATAATTTTGCTTCAGAATGTTCTTGAAGGTAGTAAAGAATTTCTCCAAGTCTATTTTGTAGTATTGGAATATTCGCTGCTTCGCTTGAATTGTTATCATATAAAGCCAAAGAGATTTCAAAGCAAGATCTTGAAGACATTAATTCACCATTTAGAACACATGCTTCACCAATAGAACGCGATAGACATTTTGCTACAGCAAGCCTGGTACTTTCATTCAAGRCCTTTGACGTTTGAAAGAGCTGCAGATTWGATTGGASGATTCCAACTAGAGYTGTAAAGTGTGGTGTAAGAGATCTTGTAKCTYGTACAAAATTGWTATCTMTTGCTTCGTCATCACTCAAATTGTCACTCMAATTKAGGTGAGAAAAAGATMTGATTACYTTTGACAACCTAACGCARTCSCCTTCAAATRTAGGTCTTRAGGTCTCTTGTARTATCCTGTGTACAATCTGATGTACACGGACATCCTGACTATCATCAGAACAGAGAACAAGAGAAGAGCGAGCAATGTGAGCTTCTATCAACTCTTCGGCTTCATCAGGCATAAACAGCTGAACATATTGAACAACGTACTTTATTGGTATTGGATCCTGAGCAAGAACTGATAAATATTCAAACGTAAGCATCATGATCTTGTCTTCTTTCACCACTCTGTCTAAAGCCATCCTCACAGCTGTTGTCATTGTTTGTAGATAGACTTGACCGCTTGTTTCGAGGTATGGTTTTTCAGTTTGTTGCAGTTTTCCTTCTTGGATCTTTGTAAGACATTTGGACCAGGTGTAGGTGGAGTTATGTTGACTGACTAAATTCATGTAGACTGCAGTACAGACAAGAGCGAGTGGTTGAAAATCTAGTTCTCTTGCAAGTTGAAGCGCAATGGATTCAGGATCCTCGTGTTGCTGTGAGATTGTATATAAAGCATTTACAGCATCGTCAGGTTTCATTCCTTTACTTAGAGATTTGTGGTAGACTTTAGAACTTGCTAGAGGGATCGATTGACCATCTTGTGTGGTGATCAAGATTTGTCCTCTTCCTAGATTTTGCCCTAAAAGAGGAAAAAAATGGGACGACTTCTTAAGATCAACCACGTTATCCACTATCATTAACCACGAGGAGAACAATTCCAATTTCTGAATAACAAGTCCCATCAGATGCAAAATTGTATCTTCTGGTTTTGAATCGGATTTTGACTTTTCAATACTTTGGATGTAACCTTCGTCTAATCTAAGTTGACGAGCGAAGTCAATATACGATCTTAGTACTGTGTCCACGTTTGATGCATTAATTGTAGCAACAAATGTCGGTGAAGAAGCACTCCTATTTTTATCAAAGATATTTTGGCCAATTTGTCTTGCTGTTTCACTTTTTCCACAGCCGGGATTTCCTGACAAGTAGACATGTGTCACCTCGTTTGGATGAAGACTTTGTAAAGTTTTCATCTCTTCCATTATTATGTCTACTTCGCTTGAGCGTGGGATGACTTCATGTGATGGCTTTGGTGGCAAATCACAAAATGTCTGTGGCTCCTGGTTACGTCTTTTCTCTTTAGCCAACTGTTCCTGGATTTTCTCAAGCTCCTCCGTTTGAAAACTTGTTTGGGATTTCATATTTTGGATGGCAATTGTGTCAAGTTTCAAATCATGGAAAGCGTTGATTACATCTTKTACTGAAGCCTGGAAATCTGCATCAGTTACTTTGTATTTAGGTGTGTGGGCAAATTTRTTKCGATACTGTCTCAGGTCATCAACAGCTTTCTTTACCTTTGGGTCAAGCTTATTCTTTCCAATACACTTAGAGTAAAGTATTGCATAAAACAGACACGTACAGTCCCATTCCATRGYGTTSCCATTTCTAATGATAGAAAGTTCTTTTGCTTTCGWCTTTTGCTCTTTTGGTGGTGTCAGGCTGTAGAAATCAATTCCATTTTTTGCAGTGTCATTCCATTCACCATGCGATGTCTTATAGCGAGCATCCCATTCTTGTTTGAACACTTTACGAAGGCCATCAGTCACGTGAGCTGTCACGTGACAAATGCGAAAGTAGTTCAATTGTTCTTTGCTAAACTTATCAGGACTTGCCATAGCCATCTACATAGGTTTAAAATTGCAAGTTAGAAATCATTCACTCAGTATGATATCTTCAACCATAACTAGCTATGAAGACATTGTTTGTCGAAGACATGGAATGTTTAAAAAAATGTTAGTGTCCTACAAGTTCCTTTTCCAAAATATGACAGATATGGAAGCAAATCATTTTAAGATTTCATTTTTTCTTTCGTCAGTACTCTAATTGATACAAATATGACGTGAAAATGTGATGAATCAAAAAAGTACGAGACGAAGTCGAATGCCGTGATTGTTGTTTTCACCACATTTCAAATAGACCTAATCGGCTAACGCGTTGCAATGTACGTTACCACCCAATTCAAATCCTGTGGGATAAAGAACTTTTGTTTCTAAGAATTCAACTGTGAAATGCAAATACAACGAACAATGAAACTTACTCCCGGGTGGTTTGAATTGGGTTGACAACGAGTTAAGTCTATTTCATCACATTTATTTAAAAATAATATCATCCAAGACCGCGTAATCAAAGCGGTCTTCATAATCCATGTAATCAGGAAAATTAAAAGCAAGCATAAAATCTACTTTGAGAAAAGGCTTCTAAAATATGGCATGTGGATTCATACAACATGTTTAATTTGGCGAATTTGCTTCTACCGAGGCATGTCTGCCTTGAAATTACATACATATAGCATCCGTATGCCTGGTATGATAAGAGGTCGCATCTCATAAAAATAGCAAAATTCCACTAACCTCTTCTTTGAAAACTATGTTGTCGCCATCGTCCTCATTATTTTCGGACTCGATAAGCTGGCGGCTAAGTCATGCAAAGGTGGATTTATTTCCTGAAACTGAAATCAAATATAATTTTTCAATAAACATCGCTTTTGACTATGGTTAAAACAAACATTTCATGGATAAATCCTTACACCGTTATCCTGCATCGTAACAAGAGCTGCTCACAAAGACAGGCATGCTAAATAATCAAATGCATTCCACGAAACATTCAAACACTGATACATGTATCTAAACTATGATCTTACTAAAACAAACAGAATCTCATTAGTTGTGCTTAAAATTGAGTCAAGATGTAGTTGTTCTAGTGTTCGATCTGTTTTAACCGTTAATTTTGCTGGTATTTTTGTTTGAAAGTATGAGAACTGAAAGTTTGAAAAAAAGTAATTTGTAATTAAAGCTTCAGAAAACTTTGTGCCACCTTGCTTGTAAAATTGCGTTTGAAGTTAGTATTCATTAAAATTCAGAAAAAATACTTTTAGCAAGTCTCAGTTATGAGAAGGCAATTATGACTGAAAACTTACCTGAAATGATTTGGATGGTTTTGTTTCTTGATTTCAAATTTCCGTCTGAGTTATCTAGAACCAAACGTACAACTTCTGACATTTCCACAGATATGTTTTGAATAGACGTATCTTAAAGTTTTGCATTCATTTATACATTATCAGCTGTCAGGGCAACTTACCATACACAGTTTGGATGTTATTTCTACTTTACTACGCCTATCGCTATTAATTCTTGATCTTCAATGTTGAATAATTTGATGAAACTGCTATGCCAACAGACCAGCACTGTACGTGTTAATATGAAGAGTCTGTCTGTTATTTCAGAGCCGAAGAATGATTTCCGAAGCGTAACAAAAACATCAAAACTTTCTTATCATGTGACTTCAACTAAAACAAAAGTCATAGGAGAAGTTTATATAGTTTTTGTTTCCATTTATTCATGTTAGGAAAAGAATAGTCAATATACTGTGTTCCATGTTTTAAGTGAAACGCTAAAATAGTTCAATTTTTGAAGGAAAATAGTTCAGTTGAATCTTGTCATAACACATTAATTATTTATAAATGATATCCACGCTTCATTTCATATCACCCCCCTTTTGGCATCCTGCAGTGTTGCTAGTAGTGTAATTAACTATTGTTTTGTTCTTTCTTCAGCGGTTGGTTGGTTTTCAATATATGAGAAGTGAATTTTCCCTTGTGCATCAGTCTAAATCGGTATGCTAGTTATGCTAACACATAAAAATACTGAAAAATAATGACAAGGTCGCCGAAAAGGTTCTCGTCACCCGCCATGCCTCAAGCAGCATGCAATGACGCCGGAATTTATTGAGGGGTTTTTCATCGAATCTTTTTTTCGCAATTTTGACGGACTTATTATTCCTTTTTTACTCTAAGATTGTCATTGAAATCAATGTATAATTATATTTCTTTTGAATAAGGAATATCCTGGGAAATCTAGTCGCACTGATCTGTGCCGATGGCTAGGACTATATTTAGAGGTTGATGAATATACGAACCCACTATTGAAAATGAAAATGAAAATGAAAATGAAAATGAAAATGAAAATGAAAATGAAAATGAAAATCGAAATGAAAATCAAAATCAAAATTAAAATAAAATCAAAACAAAATCAAAATCAAAATCAAAATTAAAATCAAAATTAAAATTAAAATTAAAATTAAAATCAAAATCAAAATCAAAATCAAAATCAAAATCAAAATCAAAATCAAAATCAAAATCAAAATCAAAATCAAAATCAAAATCAAAATCAAAATCAAAATCAAAACGAAGATCAAAATGAAAATGAAAATGAA